GTTCCCGGAAGGTGCCCTGTGTGAACAAAAGCGACGACCAATGCCGTAAGGAGTGTGTCGTAGTGATGATGCATGTGTCTCTTTGATCTGCAGTTTTAAATGCATATCAACGTTCACGTTGCACATTAACAAAGAAGAAAGTTTTTGTTTGTCATACTGATGTCACGTGTCTTTAAGGGATCTTTATGGGATGTGTGTGAACGCACGCACAGATTCCAGAAAATCACTGCCAGTGTGAATGAACCAAAACCAAACGATCCAGGGACACATTATCAGTGTATTTTCCGGAATATCTGTGTGAAAGGGGCTTTATAGTCCACTAGAAGTATGTGGTGATGTTTGTGTCTACAGAGACACAACCTGGTTGTGCCTGTATTTTTATATTTTCCTCTTGAATTTCTGTGCTTTAGCTTTTGTGTCGCCCCAGCCAACAACGACACGTGGCGGGACTTTATCGTCTGTGTCTGAAGTTGCTTAATGTAGCTATTGCCTTGTTGACTGCTATCTGTAACTCGACAGATTATTAGGCATTCTAAGAAATTTTTTATGATGACACGTAATTATTGTTTATTAGCAAGCTAGACTGAAGATGGCTAAACTCACTCACAAATTACAGTCAGTCATCAAACTATTAGCATAAGTGCTCATTCATATACACAAAAGATGCTATTTATGCATAATAAACACAATATTTGAAAAAGAAAATGGCTCAATAGCTCATCACCCATCTTCTCACTAGTATTCGATTCGGTTGGTCTGCGTGTGCAACTGATATCATGTCAGAGGAAAGAGAGACAGTAACTAAACATTTCTGCATAGTGGACCTTTAAAACATGTAGGCAAACTGAATTAAAAGTCAAACTTTACATTACAGTTAAAATTATTTATATTATCAGGACAAAAATGCTTAAATGTGTTTAAATGTATGAGCAGTGAAATGGGAGTGCAAAAAGTGATTCAATGAAATGCTTTCAAGAAAAATGGAGAATTCATGGAAAATAATCTTAAAGGTACACTATGTAACTTTTTTGATAATAATTAACTAAATATCAATAGCGAGTCAATACATCATCAATCCTCCTTCAAAACGTGTTTTTGTCTTACCCTGATTCACTATAGTAAGCCTATTATAAGTTTTTATTAGGGATGCACCGATGCATCGGCTGAACATCGGTAACGGCCGATATTTGCCTCGTTAACTGCCATCGGCCATCGGGAAATAAAAATGACATTCGCCGATGATTATTATGTGTCATGAACGCTGTGCTCAGGAGAAACTTTTTCCCTCTTTTTATTTGGGCGCGGGGAGATACCGAGACGGAAGAGGGCGCCCGCGCACTCTCCGTCCTCAGTAACTTAGATTAAACAAAGAAGATGTACGGCGATTACCTGCAAGCTGACCAACAACGGAAAAATGAAGCCGCCAAGAAAGCGCAAACCCCCGGTAAGACTCAGACTGCAATTGACACGGCGTTTGAGAAAGCCAAACAGCTGCCTTCCGACAGCGCCAAAGCGAAACAAATAACAAACAAGGTGATGGAGTTCATCGCTTTAGATGACCAGCCTTTTATTGGAGAAATAACCACCTGCGTTTTCCAGAACTCGCACAAATGGCACGCAAATACCTTAATGCGCCATGCACCAGCACAGAGAGTGAGCGGTTATTCAGCTCTGTGTCTCATGTCTTGGATGAAAAGAGAAATAGGCTTTGCTGTGACAAGGCAGAGATGCTTATCTTTTGTAAAGAAAAACATGCATCTTATTAAGAAGTAGGCCAGAGATACATGTCTTATGACTTATGACATTAATGATCAGAAGTGGAGGTACTGTTTTTGTTTTATATAATGCCCCATGTTCCAGCCTGTGAGTTCTGAAACACTGTAATGTTTTATTCTGTATGAGAAATACACAAGGTGAAAGATAGCCCTATTTATGTTTGTATTTATGAATAACATAATTTATTTATTTGAATAACATAATTTATTTATTTCACTTGTTTTTGCATTTACACTTGATGTTTTTTTTTTTTTTAATCAGAAAAATATTTTTTATTGGGCCATGAAAATAATCTCATTGAGTAAGTTTTTGTTTATCAGGCTAAAACCACTAAAATAATTTTGTTGGGCAATGTACTGAAACAATCTTTTCATTGATTAGAGTTAGCAGTCAAAGGTTTTTGAATGTTATTTTTCAGAAAAGAACTTGTCATAAATAAGGTTATAATGTCAACCAGAAAGTGACATTAAAGGTTGTTTTTGTTTCAGAAATTGGTCTGATTGAATTTGTGCTCATTCTAGGATAGTGTGATCAAGAGCCGAAAGACTTGTATGTTTCCGTGGCATAAAAGAAGGAATAAATAACAAAAAGAAAAAACATCGGCATCGGCATCGGCCATCGGCCAAGTTGTTATGTTAAACATCGGTATCGGTATCGGCCCAGAATTTCCCAATCGGTGCATCCCTAGTTTTTATATTTTAGACGTAGCAGGAAGATTTTTGCGGGAAATTGCGTACATACGTCCCTCACCCGTGTGTGTCTCGTCATATTCATAAATAGAGAAAACTATACCAGACCATGACTTCTGAAGCTACTCGACGCGGGTCTGGTGTGGGAGTGGCAAAGGTTAGTTGTCACAATGAGCGAGAAAGTTTGACATGGAGCAGCTGAATCTCCAACCTCCGGGAATCACCCTTTTTAAAATAAACCCGGACAGAGGAGGCAAAAAGAGATCGCGACAGAGCTCGTAATAAAACAAGAATCAACATCGGCTTGGCTTTTTGGAGATGGTGATGGCGAGAACTGAGGGATTTGAAATGTTGTAAAAGTGATGTGAAGATGGCGTTTTTATTACTCAACAGGTGAGTAAGGTGTTTTATTGAACATCATTTGCCATATGCAGCTCTCTAACAGAGTTCATTGTAAAGCAATATCTATTGTGAAGGGTCATTTCATTATGGTTGTTGAGGCGCTGTGCTGGAATATATTTTCAAGGAAGTACCGTGTCTGTTAATGGGTAAAGCTACAGTAATGTCTTCAGCTTGTCAGCTGAAGATCCTTTCCATCTAAACTGGTTATATCTCTTAAGCCTAGTAGTGGATGTTTTATGAGCAGCAGGAGAACCATATTCATCAGCACATTCATGCAGAACCGAACCAAAAAGTTTTGTTTAACCGCTAGAGGTTACATAGTGTACCTTTAGGAAAGGAACAGTAATTTGCAATTATGTTAGACATTACTCAGACAGTGTAAAAGAGAATAAAAGGTAATAAAAGTAATAAAGGGCTAGGGTTAGAGACAAGGCGGTGACACAATGGCTCAATGCAGGTGAACCCAAATATCTCTGAACAGAGAGAATAGATCATGTAAAGAAGGGACATTAATATGGCAAAAAGAGACAACCATCACAAAACAAAATAAAACATAGTAGACAAAATATAAAGCGAAACAAAACATAAACACAAAGAAATCAAAAACAAAATGAAAACAAAACAACAAGCAAAGAAAAAAAAGAAAAAAACAAATGCCAATCAATAAGTCAAACAAATAGCAAATACAATGAGCACATGTTTGATTGCTAAGAACATATTCTTGATTCAAAAATAAAAAGATACACAAACAAAAATATTAATTAAACAGGAGGAGAAAATAGCCAGAAGAAGCAAGTCCAATTTGCAGTGAAACCTAAAATCCCACAATGAAATTCATTTAAGCTGGAAAATACGTCACCTTCCTTCAGCTGCAGCCAGCATGTCCTGCCTCGTCAGAGGGATGCATTTGGCTGCAGTTAGGTACAGATGTCCAAAGGCAACAGACTTCTGGCTTACAGAAACTCACCCTAAACCTGGGCACTTTGATAAAGGGGCAGAGTAAAAGAAACTAAAGTGAATTGCATTTTGAATGTACAAATAGGAACTCAAAAGAAAAGTTCTGAGGAGTGTTTTGTGGACAGTTTCTTTTCTCAGTGTTCAATGCAAGTCAGGAGGAATTTTAATTGAAAATCCTTTAGAAAGCATTTGCCAATTATGCATGCATTTCTGAGAATATAGGCTTTTGTATATCGAATTTCTGAGAATACATTTTGCACATGGTGATTTTTCTCATTGGAATTTTATTCTAAACAGAATAACCTTTTTTTGTTATTTTGTTTTTTCCTCACATTTTTTCAGTGCAAAACCAAGTGAGATTGGGAATGTGGGACCTAAAGGCACTGAGCCAATTATGTTCATTCATAAAACTAAAAAAAAATGCTGGAGAGCAAACTGGAATTTCACAAGGGAAGACAGTCTGACTGCTTTGTTAAATTTAATTTTTTATTAATAATATAAGTTTATTATTATTATTAGTAGTAGAAGATTATTATTATTTTACTAATTGTTAATTGTATTACAAAACATGTCCAAAAAAACTATTTGCAAAGCATGTTTGCTACTCTAATGCCCCAAAAATATTTTAGTTTACTCTGAAATATCGATTTTTCTTTTCATAAAATGTCTTTTATTCTCTTTGAAGGCTTTTCTTTACATTCTTCCAGCAAGGACCAACATTCACAACCGGATCTAGATTTTGGCAAAAGACATGCTAAATGCAATCAGATTTACATTTTTAATTAAATAATGAGTAATGTTTTAATGTTTACCATTAAAACAGTTTTCTTTATACTGTTTGATTAAAACTGAAATTAAAAAAAGGTTCCTATTTACATCTTAATGCACGTTCCTGGTCTTATTGTGAACAATTCATCAGTGCATGTTCTCTGTAATCTTATATCAAAACTCGCTCCACCTCTGAAACGACTTTCCTTTTTCGTCTGATGTCACAAGCCCTCCCTTCAAACCACCTGTCATATAGAGACCATTTTTCAATTACCAAATTAATAAACCACAGAAAAAAATTGGCCAGTTGAATATGCATCTTGATGTAGGCCTTAGTTCCAGTCTTCAGCATCAGACTCAAGTCAGCTTGAGAGAAAAGATGGCTTAAAAGACAAAAGCCAAGCTTACCTGCGGCGAGAGCTGTTGACGGAGGAGGTCCCGCCTCTCCACCACTTTTTTGACTCATAGCGGCTGCGTTCTGCTCTCTAGAAGATGGCAGCTGCAGCTCTTTCGGGAGAAGATCATATACTGATTCTAGAGGGAATCAGAAGAGAAATCGATCAATTATGGGTACGTTTACACAACAACTATGTACTAAAAACGGTTTTTCGCATACAGACGACAAAGCTGTCAAAACGATACCCGTTCACACAGATGATGTCCCCGGTTTCACAAATTCATGTTTTTGTAGTTTACACGGAGACGATAACGGTACTGTTTTCAAAGGTTTGCAATTTCCGGCCCCCAAAACATAGTTTCTGTGTAAAAAAGCGGCCACAACGCATACAAAGTTTTCCGTTTTTAGTTGAAAACGGTGTCGTGTGAACCATTTTCAACTATGTCTCAGTAAAACACAGCAAGTCAAAATAGCCTTGCACAGATTTCCTTGTGGCAACTGGTGAATTTCCAATATCTCATTTCAAGTGGATTATCGCCAGGCAGAGCCTGATAATCAGCACAACATTTATTTCAGTACTTTTCCATGACCATAAAAGTCATCTACATCTGTCAGTCCAATTCCAGGTATACAGTGTCTTTCTGGAACCTACACAGCCTGGCCATAGACATTGAAAAAACATGTGAAAAGTCCTGACCGCTTATTTTACACCAATAGTAAGTGATAAATACCATTTTTGGCATGCCAGAGGCCTTAGTCACCACTCTTGTGATTGTAGTGGGTTATTTTAACAGAACAAGAACACAAAGCACTTCAATCCTTGTTCAGGACTCTGATCAGTACTACTTTGAAAACAAGGCTGCTACAAAGGGATGAGGAATTTGAGAAGTAAAATTGTGATTTTCCCACCAGTTAGGCCATATCAAAAAAAAAAAAAAAAAAAAAAGTAAATGAAAAAATAACCGTTCTATCCATAGTCAAGCTCCTCAAATCCTCAATTCTGTACCTAGAGATTCTAATGTTTCCATGCAGATCATCTCTCATAGTTGTGTGGTCTCAAATTATGAAAACAATATCATTAATTGTCACACCTGCCAATGGTGGGTTAATGGAAAAAATTTATTAGTAGTGAGGGTTGCCTGACGCCATATTAAATGTGAATGAAGATGAGGCTGTGAAGGATACGAATACAATCTGATCAGTAGGTTGAGCTATCTTAATGTTATAGGTCAGGGATTTCCACATTTTTTGTCAGACCGAACCCCTTCGAATATCTATATTTATATTGGGCTGCACAGTTTGGTTAAGAAATTATAATCTGTTATATGTTGCATTTCAGTTAAAGCATCCATGCAAAAAGAACTTAGATGCCACACTATTAGAAAAAAGGGTTCTGTCAGGTGATTCTTAGTATACTTAGTATCCTTTTATGGATTTAGTATTAATTAATTAATTTTGTTTTGATTACATTTTATGAATTAAACAGCTTAAAAGTTGAAATAACCAATTAAACAAGAAATGATTATGCAATCATATAAGACATTTCTCCTTTTTAGCATAAAGGGTTCTTTAAAATTGAGTCGAAAAACACTAAAAAGTGAACGTGCATTTGTTGCTTTAAGGAGGTATTTCTAGCTGTTTCTGCCTATAAATTCTAATTTTGTTGTTGTAACCTAATTCAATCAGGTTTATTTAACGAGCTGTTTTAACTTAATTGAGTTACATTGACCCAATTTCCAATGGACACATTCAAGGATGGACACATTCAACACATGAGCACTACAACTGCACTACACCTATAGAGGGCAGTATAGCAGTGACTCGTGTCAGCAACAGGACATCTGCTCTGGAGGACAAAGAAGAAGAATAGGTTTGTGTTTGGCTGTTCCTTGCTGATCTGAGAATTTTGCTTCAATGAGAAATTGTGATTTGGGGTTATTACAGATTATGTTGCATCAAGTGAAAATCACTATTGACACTGCGCTACTCTTCAGCACAATGGTAACTACAACATTCAATAACTGAACATTAAACATTAACATTCACATAACAAACATTCTCTTTACTGCAAGTGCAAAGCACATAAAATAACACTTAATCCCTAAATGTTCTCTCCTAATGCAGTCCCTTGCAAAGCATGTTGGTACAGATCCACTGCCCAGGGCTGCATTTCTCAAAAGCATCGTAAGCCTAAGTAGATCGTAGAGCCTTTGCCACCAATGGTCTCTCTACCATCAACATAAGCCGCGTTTCCACCGCAATTGCCCGGAACAATTTGTCCCAGGAACTTTTTTCCCAGGAACTTTTTTTGCCCCAGACCGGTAGCTTTCTGCGTTTACATCGCGGTCTAAAGTACCGGGTAAACTGCGCGCGACTGCTCATTGCTTGCTTGTGACGGACAGTAGACTGTAAAAGACAGTAATCAGTTTTGAGCGCCACATTTATAATAAATATGGAAGAGATTCACACTGTGCTGCAGTTGTTTGAGATGTATTGGTTTACTAACCAGGTAATTAACAAAACGGCAGAAAAGAGACGAGCACTGATACTAAAGCGTGTTCAGAAAGCTCGTAATGCTAACGTTAGATCTAAAATTAGACAGCGTATGTTATCAGCTATTGCGGACATTGACCGTGAGAAGGCTGGGACGAACGCGCAGAAAATTTCTCTTCCGCAAATACGCTTAATAAAGCCTGAATCTCGTCGTCGGTCCAGCTGCCTTTTTTATTTTTATTAAATTCCATATTTGCAGACAGACAACTCTTACTGCATGGAACTTCATTACTGCATGAAGCCACGAACTGCAATAGATTCTAAAAATTCCGGTTAAAATAAAATGCTGCGCGGAGTTATCCAATCATAATGCGGCGTGAACACAACCAATCAGCATGTTCAGCGCACAAGCCCCACCCGCGAAAGTTCCTGAACTTTGAAAAAGTACTACCTCGCGAGCAGGGACTTTCGGAGGGGGAAATATCTACCCGGAACTTCATTTAGACCCTGGTTCCTGCGGTGTAAACACACCGAGTACCAGGCCAAAGTTCCTAGTTCCTGGGTAAAGTTCCTGCGGTGGAAACGCGGCTTTAGCTCACAATGCATTTTAGAAATGCAGCCCTGGGCAGTGGATCTGTAGTTCCCAGCATGCTTTGCAAGGGACTGCATTAGTAAATTTAGGGATTTGTGTCCACCAGTGGCACCAAAAAGAAATGCAAATCACAAATGGTTTACTTGTAGAAGTCTCTGCACATTGGTGAACAAACTATTTTCCAGATCTGAGGGTATCTGCATGTTCACACTCTTTCCGTCTGCATCTACAATGTAATAGATGCTTAGATGATTTCAAGCAGTCCCACAGAAAATAAAATGTGAAAAGCACAGGTATGTTCAAAAGTCTCTTAAATCCTGAGAACAAATTCATCTCTTATATGGCCTGAAACAGATGCAAACATGGGGGCAGGTAAAGGCAAATTCTCAGTAAGGCCGTGAACACAGTTTACAGAGGCGAGACGGGGAGCAACAGACACTCTCTGTTTCTAAGTCAAACAAGCCTAGGAAAGTGGATTTTAAAGGTCTTGAGACCAACATCACAGTTCTTGCATAACCCACCATTACTTTTTCCAAATATCATTGTCTGGACTTTAAGCAGACTTCATTTTTCCCTTTTATAATTCAGAGCATGTCCCAAAAAGTATGGTATATCAGATGCATTACCGTGGTACTTTGACTTGTACTTTTATATGCCTATATCATTCTATTTGATATAGAATTATTTCATTTCTAGAGCTTGCATCTTTCTGCATGGTAATACATTGCAATACAATGAATTTGAAAGTTTAGTGATATTTTAAACACCTTTCATGGCTTGTTGCTTAAGAAGGACCAACATGCAGATTAATACAGAAAGGATGCACTGTATGCTTGGAATTTGCTTCTGAATCCTCACAACTCTGAACAATAGTAATTGAGTCTGCTTCCAATTAACATCAGTAGTTTTTTCCTACACAAACAAGCACATTAATCACATTTAAGAGAGGATCCTGCTCTTTCCCTGCAAAACCGTTTCCCATTTTTGTCTTCTTAGGCTGGTCTGCACATGCAGGAACATGTGCCGTGTGCACAGAACCCTTCCAGTAAACAGATTGCCAACCACATAGACAGAAAATATGCGCTGTGCACTAAGACTGCGGCTGCAGAATCAGTACCTGGATTGTTTCTAAGTGTTTCCACTCATTTTAAGAGAGAAAATTCCTATTTTGCTGCAGTTTCTTCCCACACAAACAGGACACGGTGGCTGCCGTTCCTGTCCCAAAACACAGTTTTTCTTTCACTAGGGAAAAGAAAAACAAAGAGCAGTATTAACTTGGTAAACACTATGATTTCATTGCTTCTACAAAACAATTTCCCACTTTCAAGCTTCTTTCTTGTTCAGACTAGATCTGATGCCAAAACACACTTACACTGAATTAAAGGGCAAGAAGAAAATTCCGACATTTACTCTTCCTTGTGTTGTTCTAATCTAAACCCAGAAGATTTGCTTTTTCCATGTAACACAAGAGAAGAAATTTATCTGAATCTCCGTGCTGCTTTTTCATTAAATTTTTCCAGTGAACTATAGTTGACACCTTCAGTTTGGAAGTTGGTAGTCAGGAATCAGGATTTTTTTTTCCCCATTAGAATTCATATGCAAACGACCTTCAACGTCCACACAGCTTCTTCTACTACGTGAAGTTTTGTGAAGTGGTTCAACCAAGGAACCTGTAACCAAGGATTCCTGTAACCAAGGAATATGCCACCTAAGAAAAATTCAATCCTACCCGACTTCTTGTCGGCGGAGGTTTCGACCGTATCAGCGCAACAGAAGAAAATTGTTGATCTGATGGGGGAAATCCAAATGCTAAAGAGGCAAAGCTTGGAGAAGGACCGAAAGATCGCTATCCTGGAGACTCGTGTTGCGGACCTCGAGCAATACTCCAGAATCAACGATGTGACTATCAGCGGCCTGAGAACCAAACACCGGAACTAATTTAATGTTCCAGCATATGTTATAATATAATAAAATTATTACTTTAAGGGATATCGAAATAAACCATAATCGCAATATGGTTTAGTGCGATCATCAATTTGCAAAAGCTTAGCTCAATCTCCTCAAGTCGCTTATAACAGTGTTTCTCAACATGCCTTTGGGTCACAAGGCTGTTTTGAGTGGGTCGCGTAGTGTGTAGTCAAAGAAACAACAAAAACGTAATTCTAAATGTTTTTCTGATGTGTAATGTTTATTTTGAAAGACGTGCATGAAAGCTGTTGACTCTTCTGTCAGACGCAGTTTAAGTAAAGAGTGCTTGAGAAAAACGCAACCTGATTAAGTATCTGCTGTCAGATGAGATGTTGTCACGCTATTGTGCCATTATTGGGATCTTAATAACACAGAAGTTCGGCCACACGTGGACGATTGACTGAAATTCATGCTCTCGAACCATAAAGCTGAACATATTTGAGCCCATTGTGCATGAATGGACAAAAGTAAAGGAAGGAAAAACACATTATGCAAGTAATTCCGAACTCTCATTCACACTTTCATTCACTATTGCAGATTCCTGGCACTTGTTCTGATTAGCCCTGGATACGCTAGAGTGCCAGTGTTTTTGGCTGTTGGCCCGTCAGCTCCCCGTTAGCCCCTCGTGTTTTTTTCTCTTGTTAGCTTTTTGGCTTGATCCTCTTGCTTTATTTAACTAGCTAAACAGGTTTTGTGAAGTAGCTTAGAGGCTTGTCAAGCAGAACTGCCAAAAAAGACAGGCAAAACAGAGGTGGGAAACATATTACAAAGGAGTAAGTGACGTCACTGAGCTCATGAATATTAATTAGCTCATGATGACATTGCTCAGTATGCAGTCATGTTACCCAACTAATATTCAAACCAAATCTTGGTATTATTTATGAATTGCATTGAATGAATCAGATATGGTTCATTTTAATGACCTTGAAGACATTTTAGTTTTTTGACAAAGATTCAGTATCAGGATATTCCTTTTTTCAATATATTTATAGTATCTGTCAAAAGTTTGGAAACATATCATTTTTTTTATATTTTTGAAAGAAGTCTCTAATGCTCGCCAAGGCTGCATTTATTTGATTGAAAATACAGTAATAACAGTAATACTGCAAAATATGATTACAAATATAAGAACTGTTTTTGCAATAAAGGTGAGAAAAACGGACCTATTCGCCAGAGGTGTGAATATTTATTTAACACAACACTCAGAACACTAGAAACAGAACAACCGCTATACACATGACGAGAACTGAAAATCAACTGAAAGAAACATGGAGGGCAAATACAGACCAAACTAATTAATGAAATGAATAACAGGTGCAAACAATGAGAAACCACAGTAACTAACTAAAACATAGGAAACTCATGAAAACCCACCCAAACATACATAGAACACAGATCCCCCATATCCCCCCATCGAGGTGACACGTCCTCGCGCCTCAATAACTTTACAAAAAGGACAGCAGAGGAGGGTGGGAGGGGGCTTTGGCGGAGGACTTTGGTTGCAGGAACATAGGACAGGAACCTGGGTGGAGAAGACAACGGTAAGAGCAAGGGCGGGAGGGCCAGGACGCAAGCCCACGGTGGAGTCGAGAGAGGGAGGAGCCATGGTGGAGGCTTGGCAGTAGGAACCAGGGGGACCACGGCTGAGATGGAGCTGTTGGCGGTGGAGTCCCAGGCGGAGAACTGAGGGATCAGGCGACACAGAAGGTCCTGGAGGGCAGGGCGGTGCCGAGGCAGAGCTGGAGGGATGGAGGAGCCCGCCAGAGCTAAAGAGGTGGAGGGACGAGTCACAGACTAAGTCCCATAAGTCCATGGTGATGGCTGTGTGACGACTGACCAAGGTGGAGCCGGAGGGATGAGGAAGCACAGTGGAGCCATAGGGATCAACAGTCCCAGGTGGAGCCGACTGGTCAACAGGCCGAGGTGGAGTGACACCCACACGGACGTTCTAGGTGAAGCTGGACTGGCGAACACTCAGAATGAGGTGAATTTATCAGGGAGACAAAGGGTTGAGGAGATTGCAGATAGGTTTGAAGGACTGGCAGTGCAGGCTTTGACAGAGATTCAGTATCAGGATATTTCTGTTCCCCCCCCCCCCCCCCCCCCCAACATATTTACTGAACAAAACACATGTTTTCAGTGTGTTTGAATTGCCTAAGCTAGAATCAGAAATGTGCTTTTAATGCAAGCCAGAGGTAGGCATTGTATTTTATTATCTGCAATGGGATGTGGGATGAAAGTGATCCAGGCGGCCCTGATACAGACAGCGCTTTTAAAGATTTACAAGGTGAAAGGCTCCATTCAAAGGACAAGAGGATTTAAGCAGGGAATCATTTATAACACTCTACAAATGTTTATTACTTATTCCACCCTGCTGCCGATGGCACCATAGCAACCAGGAGCAAAGCGCAGCCTACATCTCCAAGTATTCTGAGCATTAATTAGGTGGTAAAGGGAAATTTAAATGGGTGCACTATATGAGGAGAAAAACAAGGCAACAGTTGCTGTCCTGTCTGGTTTGTCACTAGCAAACCCGAGAGAGAGAGAGAGAGAGAGAGAGAGAGAGAGAGAGAGAGAGAGAGAGAGAGAGAGAGAGAGAGAGAGAGAGAGAGAGAGAGAGAGAGAGAGAGAGAGAGAGAGAGAGAGAGAGAAAGTAGAAACTGTCTAAAGTTGTACATTTATATCATTAATCAAAATGTGTGTATGGGAGGCTGTCTGTCATATATACGTACTATAGATAAAGTGAAGGACATTTTAAAAAATGGTCAGAAATTGAAAGTCAATTTCACAATTTATTACAAAGAAACGGCAAGTATAACACTCAAATTTTAAAGATCTGCATGATTCTGGATAACTTTTTTGTGTTTTAAACAGAGATCACGATTCTCTCATGATTCTGTACAGACAACTAGGCCTAAGCAAAATAACATACCATTTACTAGAGGTTCTGACAAAATGTTAATTGCTGCAGTCTATTTAAAAATATGTATATCTTATTTTAATGTATGGTATTTAATTTTAATTATTTTATTTATTTTTAGACTTTTAATGATTATTCGTGCAGTTCTAATTTGAAGTAGAATGACAATAAGTGTAAATAAAAATCTTGTAATACAAGTTCATATTTTTCATATGGATGTAGTGCTATGCGGAAATCATAAATATTTTAAACTAGAATATTGAGTTGAGAATGAAATTGCTCTTATGGTGTGACTATAAAAGACATGATGTCAGCAGTTCACATTTGAATTCAGAAAACTTTCAAACTTAAAACACAACGCGACAAAAACACAAGTTATAGGCTAAGCAAAGCACCATCTGAGATGATCAGGATTGTTCAATTACAAGCCAAAACACTTGTGATCTGCCATGAAACTCTGTCACCCAGACTCTGACACATCAGGAAGTGGAACATAACAATGGATCAATGCTTTCCCATCTAATCTAAATCATCTCATCTGTATGGATATTCCCTCCACTCACACACTCAATTTAATTCACTGGTCAATACTCGCACTAAAATAAAAAAAGGACACTAAAATAAAGTGTTACCAAACTTTTTGAATTTGGAGAGAAAGTACTATGAGGATACTAACTGATTTTGATAACGACACAAATAGACCTAACTGGATGGTAACTTACATGGCAAGGCAGTTTCTTGCATTGTATGATATCTCAGTCATAGGTCTAGTTAACTTGTTTTTTGTCCTAAATTGCCATATACCCTTAATCAAACTTACTGTCAACATTCACTTTTTCCCCCAAAAAAATAGTTTTCTCTCAATATTCTAAAGAGATCGTTTCCATGCTTTTTACAGTGTCTTTAGTCAAAATAATATTTTCAACAAATAATATCAGACTAGTCAGAAAAGTCATGGTCTGAGCACTAGCACATTGACAGATGTGGCAATGACAGCTACAACAGAGATGCAAACACAATCTGTTGTCAGACATTCAGAGAAAAGCTGAAGTATACAGTAAATTCAGAAAGTCACAAAAGTCAGACACACTCAGCAGCACTCCTTCATTCAGAGATATAACACAACCAGCATCCACTTCAGTTTAAGCTCTGGACCAGACGGGATCTGCCCTATGTCCCATAAGGGCAATAGATAATGAGAACATCCAAGGGCAACAGATTACATGGCCTAGATTTTACAAGCATGTCAAGAGGTCTTACTGTAACAGAAGCCAGGAGGATAGATGGGTACTCTTAGTCCAGCGTCAATAGCTATGGGCTAAACAATGGCCTAAGCTTGAGGCGGACGTAAACC